CCCACCCGGGGGCAGAAAATGTCATGGAGGTCAGCTGAAGTCACGGATTCCGTGACTTCTGTGACATAATCGTAGGTTTACTCATAAGACAAGTGATATCAAAGTTAAGGTTGCAAGTACAACTTTAACTCTGCCCCCTTGTAATAAGCATGTACTACACAATACATTCCTTAACTGAACTGTCACATATTATTTCTTAACTAATATAACTCTTTTCAGGAAACAGTAGGAAGAGCTAGACTAGGAAAGATCCCATATTCATTTACTAGACATCGTAAATCCCTGAAACATTTAGGAAGTGGACCTGGACAGATCAGAGGAGTATATATTCTCTGGCCTGATTTTGTTTTTTTTAGAGGCGCTAACAGCGGCTATTGGTTTCCATGGAAATTATGGGTGCTCACACCATTAGAGAGCAACTAGCTTAGCTATGGATGCCTGCCCAACACCGCATTCCTTAGCTGCATATAACTGTAGAGCTTAGGCAAGAAAGACACTCCATTGTACATGCTCAGAATCGGATTTTCATTTGGATAATGGCAAAAGCCAAACCGTTTTACCCCATTATAAGGCTGTACACTCAGTGAGGGCTATTTTCATGCCACATTTCAACTTTTAACAACACGCTGTTTTTGCTGGCAGGGCTCTTCTAAAGAATTTTTCACTAAACAGAAGATTATAAAATATTCCCAGTCTCAGTCGAGATCAAGCATAGGAAATTTCAGTCCCAAGAGTGAAGATTTCCAATAGTTATACGCAGCAGAGTGGGGAGTTACAATGGAAACATCAGGCAAGGGGGGTGACCAGCGCCTTGTTAAAATATCCTCTTAAAACTTATATTCCCTTTTTATGTTGGGTATTAGTAGAAAAATAGTGAACTGCAAAAAGACAACTGGAAATAGAAACACTCCTAAATCCTTAAACAGGGTGAGCGGGGAGAGAGAGAGAGAGAGAAAGAAACAGAGAGAGAGAGAGAGAGAGAGAGAGAGTACGTTCCCTACCACGAACCG